CCGGACGTGGGGTGGCAGCGGGCGCAGCGGCCGTGGGGCGGCTCCGACGAGGCGCCTTGGTGGTCGTGCGCACTGTGGGCCGCGGGGTGCTCTCGGTCATCTGGATGAACTCTGCGCAGAAGAGCATGCGATCAGAGGGGCGCCAGGCTTCCCCAACGCCCCCCCGCCCCACCTCCGTGCCGCCCTCCAGCCTGTGCGCGCCGTGCAGACCCGCAGGAAAGATGTCCTCGTCCTGCCTCTGGGGCCGGATGCCGGCCTGGAGCTGGATGTGGGGCGCGCCTTCATTCAGCAAACACTCGCTGACAGCTGGTTGTGCCAGTCTGCCGGTGAGGTGGGAGAACTAGCGCTGCCCTCCTGAGTCCCCGGGATGGGAGAGTCAGATTATGAGCATAGGGAATGGAAGGGGGATCTTGGGGGGCTTCTGAGAGAAAGCACTTTCTGGCTCCAACTGGTGGTTTTCAGGGTGAAGAAACGGAGGCCCCCAGATGGGTAAAACTTGCTCAGGCTTTAGGGCTGCGGGGTGGGAACCGGACCCACTATGGAAGGGGTCAAGCTCTTCCTTCGAGACCCCCAAACCCACTGAGCCCCTGTCCCTCACAGTAGGCTGATGGGAGCTGTCGGGGTGAGCTGTAGGGGTGATTGGCTGTGGCCCGTGTTGCCTCGTGCCCCCAGGGATGGGGCTAGGCAGGGCTGAGGTGGGCAGTTCCCCTTGGTCCCTGCAGGATTTGGCCCTCAAGCTTGGCCAGGTCAGCCACCGGGACAAATCTTACTGCACCTCTGACACCCAGCTCTGCCCAGCTCCACCCCAGGGAGGCCCGAGGCCAGACCCTGGGCACTGCCCTGCAGGACAGCCCTCAGGGGAGGGCTGAGGGGTGCCTGAGCCCCAGAGCTGCCTGGTAACTGTGGATAGGGGTCCTGGGGACCACCAGCTAAAACCCCCTTAGTGACCCCCGCCTCAGCCAGCCTTTGAAAACGACAGAGATGGTGGCGGTGAACAGGCCTTGATACCAGGCAGAGTGCAGGCTGGGGGCAGGAGCACTGTGACATGGGCAGGGTGCGCCCCTCCCCGGGCCCAGGCCCCCACTCCCACTCCACCAACAGGGAAGGACTTCCAGCGCCCAGGGGCTCCCTTCCTCCCACTTTAGCTCTCACTGTTCCCACTGCCTCGACTGTCCTTCCTGCCTCTGCCCTCGCCCCACCCCACGGTGAGTCCTTCCCCTTCTTCCTGGGCTCAGCATTCTGCTGCTGGCTCTAGGGAGCCCCCACCCCGTCCTGCCAGCAGTCCTGCACTGCTCTGGGTGCGTGCAGCACCAGCACACACTTCTGTCATGGAGCTCGGGACACTAAATGACTTCAGTCTGTGCCAGCCAGGACAGGGCCTGGTATGACTTCTCCCGTGGCCCCAGCATCAGCACAGAGCTAGTAACTAACAATAGAGCCAGAAACTGCTGAATGAGTGAATGGAAAAGTCGCCAAGCCCCAAAGCTGACTGAAGCCAGAACTCACTTCCAAAAACACTGAGCTCATCCCTGCCCCTGCCTTCCTCTCCCCGGGGGACCCGTCCTCAAGGCCAAGCAGTCCCACCTGCCCAGGTGCCCAGCCTCTCACCTCATCCCTCCCTCACATGCAGTCTGCCCACTGGAGACGTGCCAGGCACACTTGGCCCACTGAGATATTTCCTTTGGCTCACAGGGTGGTTTTTGAAATGCTGAACTAGTTGCCAACATTTTCAAACTGGGAGATTTTACATAACAGCCCAAGAAAGCAGGGACCCTATCCGCCCGGCTCCGTGTCATGCCTCCAGTATGCGGCACATATCTGGGTGGGGGTGGTAGATGGATGGATGGATGGATGGGAAGGAAGGAAGGAAAGATGGATGGATGGATGGACGGATGGACGACGGAGTTCCTGCTTAACAACTGGGAGATCTGGCGCACTGGGATTTGTTCCCACCTAGTGGCAACCAGCTTGGGTCCAGTGGAGCAGCCCCCCTCCTCAGGCACACTTTCTGGTGGCCCCAGGCCCCCTGGGCAGGCATTTGTGTCTTGCAGCCCTCAGGCCATGAGGCTTGCACCCCTCCTCAAGCTTGTCAACACAGAAACATCTTATGGAAGGCCCAGCCCCAATGCCCCTTCTTCTAGAGGCTCTCACACCTAGCACCTTCTCCAGTCTCCCTTGCCCCCCTGCCACACACAGATATACCCACCCCTCTGTCCCTCCCAGAAACGCTGACCCTACCCTGCCTGGCACCAGCTCTTTGCTCCCTTGCTGTGACCTTTCTGAGCCTCCCACCTTTGTGAGACCTGTACGCGCCACGGGAGTGGGCGGGGGTTGAAGGAGTGTGGCTGGTCACCGTTCCTCCCTCTTTGAGTGTCAAATGTGTATCAGGCACCGGGCCAGGCACAGAGAGGAAGAGCCAGCTAGGAGGACCCTCATGGGGCTAGAGGAACCACGCATGGCCCCAGGAACCTCCCTCCCCCACAGCAGCCGGGGCAGCGGGCACTTACTTTCTTTGGGCACAAACCGGATGAGGTGGCTCTTCACCTTGACCTGGGCAGGCTGGATCTGACACTTGCCTGGTGGCGCCCGTCTGCAGACACACACAGGCTGTGAGTCCCCACCCTGGGAGCCCACCCTGAGCATGTCCCCAGACATCTCCCCCCCGCCCCCCACCAGCCAGGCAGGGAGGGGAAGGGTCCGGTGTGTGGTCAGGTAACACAGTGACAAGGGTGGCCACTTACGGAGCACCTGCTGGGCCCCCTGCAGCGCCCCTGCCAGCTACACGCCCCCAGGCTTCTAAGATTCCAACCCCAGGATAGGAACCCCCTAGAACACTCTGCTGAGTGCCTGCTCAGCCTTGGCCTGAATGCCCCTACAGCCGGTGGCTCACGCTTCCTGAGCCACTTCTTCAGAGGGTGAACGCTGTTCTCTGGATGTGATAAATGTCAGTCTCCCCCCACCCGACCCCAGCTTGCCACAAAGACTCCCGTAACTGCCCAGATTCCTCCCCCCACCTGGTTCCCAACCCCCACGGCCTTGGGGAAGGGTCTCTCTCTACCCCTGTAGTTCCTGGCTTGCTTTCTTGTGATGCAGTCTGAGCAGTTCCCTGCCTGGAGGAACCAGGGAGATTCAAGTCAAGCTGAAGAATAAAGCTGGGGGGTGGGGAGCCCTCAGGGCTGGCGTGGAGGGAGGGACTGGGGGTCCTGCAGGGTGGGGTTTGAGAGAGCTGGGCAGAAAAGAGTGTAAGAAGGTTGCCAGGGCTACGGACTGAGTCTGCTTTGGCATCTTGGAGCAGCGCAAGTAATGAATGGAATTCCATTTTAATTAGTTTTTGGCTGTCAATCTCAGATCCTTTGAATGTGACCCTATTCTAGGCCTGACTCCATGTGGGATCCCGGCTTCAACAGGGCTCCTTCACCACCAAGCAAACCAAAAAACCAAACCCGTTGCCATCAAGTCGATTCTGACTCATGGTGACCCCATGTGTGCAGAGTAGAACTGTTCTCCTTAGGGTTTTCAAGGCTGGGACCTTTGGGAGACAGAGCACCAGGCCTTTCTTCCCAGGCACCTCTGCAGGGGTTGAAATCGCCAGCCTCTTGGTCTGCACCACCCAGGGATTCCTTGTCAGCACCATGAGGGGAAAGCCCAGGGGGTGAAGCAGCCTTGTGACAAGGCATGGACTCCAGAGAGAGGGTTAGCAAAAGAGGGAAATCGGCGAGGGCCACAGGCCTTCTCCTCCAGAGCCTAAAGCAGCACAACCATGCTCACACTTCTCAAACGCTGAGAAAGAGAGGGCTTTCTGATTGCTTCTTGTTGTTGTTAGGCTCCGCCGAGCCGGTTCCGACGCATAGTGACCCCGTGTACAACAGGACAAAACTGCCCAGTCCTGCGCCATCCTCACAATCGTTGCTATGTTTGAGCCCATTGCTATAGCCACTGTGTCAGTCCATCTCACTCAGGGTCTTTCTCTTTCTCACTGACCCTCTACTTTACCAAGCATGATGTCCTTCTCCAGGGACTGGTCCCTCCTAATAACACGTCCAAAGTATGTGAGACGAAGTCTCCCCATCCTTGCTTCTAAGGAGCATTCTGGCTGTACTCCTTCCAAGACAGATTTGTTCGTTCTTCTGGCAGAAGGCTAAAAAAGCACAACCATGCTCACACTTCTCAAAGGCTGAGAAAGAGAGGGCTTTCTGATTGCTTGGAACTCTGGAGAATGTCCCCGTGCTTAAGACAGACCCCACAGAGGTGTTGTTCCTTAAGGAAATTATGTCAAATATCCTTGCTGTGCAAAAGCATAAGCGATAACAGCAAAACATGCCCAGTGGTCATGTTTGGGCAGTCATGAGCATCCCCTCTACCCCACCACCCCTCCATTCCCACTTCCCTTGTTTTCCAAATGGTTATGACTGAATTGTGTCCCCCTCAAATATGTGCTGAAATCCTAACCCCTGTATCTGTAAATGGAGCCCTGGTGATACACTAGTTATGTGCTACGGCTGCTAACCAAAAAGTCAGCAGTTCAAATCCACCAGCAGCTCCATGGAAACCCTGTGGGGCAGTTCTACTCTGTCCCACTGGGTCTATAGGGTTGCTATGGGTCGGCATCAGCTCGACGGCAACGGGTTTGGTACCTGTAAATATGACTCTGTTTGGAAATGGGGTTGTCTCTTTTTATGTTAACGAGGCCATACCCAAGTCGGGTGGGTCGTAAACCTAATCACTTCTGAGTTATAAAAAAAAGAGCTGAATAGACACAGAGACACACACGGGAGAAGACAGACGCCAGGGAACACCAAGGATTGCCGGCAGACACTGGAAACTAGGAGAGAGGCTCATGGAAGGAATCGACACGGCCGATACCCTGATTCGGACTTCCAGCCTCCAGACCTGGGAGGAAATCAACTTCTCCTCTTTAAAGCCGCCCATTTGTGGTATTTCTGCTACGGCAGCACGAGGTAACTACGGCAGGACGTCTAAGCAGTATGCTGTAGGTGCAAAGAATCACACTTATTCCAAAAGAGAAACATGAAAAAAGGTAAGAAGAGTGCAGGGACGGGGGACGGGAAGTTTAGTCTGCTTCTGGCTCCTCCTAACCCCAGAGTTTGACCAGAACTCCCTGTCTCTGGTCCCCTGTAACCCGAGAAGAATGAGCCAATAGGAAAAGGGGCTGAACAAACCGAATGCGGTGATCGCTGTAAGGCAGCGCCTGGAATGAATTAGGGGCTCAGTCTCTGCGTTATTTCCTTGGAGAAGGATGCTGTTTAAAAAAATGCAAATAACCTAAACGTCCAAGGAATGGGCAAGGCAGTTATGGTACAGTGACTCAGCAGAAAATTATGCAGCTATTAAAAATGATCCTTTTGAGGGTGATGTTGCAATGTGGAAACATTTATACAAAATACGGATAAATGAACGAAGACCAATGCTCTACTTACAGGACACATAAATCTTGGCACTACGCAGACCAAGAGGGAGGGGCGTCCAGGAAAGGAACACTGAGGGATGAAAGGAGGAAGTGTTTATGCTTTTCTTGGGAAAAGTTATGTCAGTAATTAATACATTTGTGCTTCAAAAAAAAAGTGTGGTAAGCAAGGAAAGTCTGAGAAACTGTCACAGACCGGAGGAGGCTAAGGAGACACGATGAGTAAATGTAATCTGGCATCCTGGATGGGATCCGGGAACAGAAAAGAGATGCTGAGGAAAAAGTAATGAAATCCTTAAAAAAATAAGTGTGGGGTTTAATTAATAGTAAAAAAAAAAAAAAAAAAGGAAGAAGAAGAAGTAGTGTGCCATCAAGTCCGTTCCGACTCCTGGTGACCCCATGTGTGTCAGAGTAGAACTGTGCTCCATAGGATTTTCAATGGCTGATTCTTTGGAACTGAATCACCAGGGCTTTTTTCTGAGGTGCCTCTGGGTGGACCCGAACCACCAACCTTTTGGTTACTAGTTGA